TTCTCAAACCCTTCCCAGCCACTCCGATCCCCAATATTTCTCATTTTTCCTGCCTTTTCCCCAAAATGGCAGCAGGATGTGGCCACTGTCACCAAACCGGTCCCCGCTCCCTCCCACCCTTGATTTGGGGCTGTAAGTTATTTCTCCCGACTTTTTTTTTAACCACAGCCCCTTCCCCAGGTACCCCCGAGCTGGGTGTCACCGTACCCACCCCCCGAGGGACACGGTCACCCCGGGATGCCCTGAGCAGAGCTGGTGACCCAGCAGGTGCCACGTCACCTGCCCCACGGCTGGCCCTGGTGGTCCCATCCCACCTGGGAGCTGCCACCAAGCAGGGAGGTGGCCACAGGTCCCCCCAAGACGTGCTGCGGTGTCGGGGGGTGACATCAACCCATGGTGGGCTTTTGAACTGTGCTGTCACCCCCCATGGGAGGGTGCAGCCCGAGGAGGGGACAAGGTGTGTGGGACCAGAGCTCCCCGGGGACCCTGCACACTGATGGGGGACACTGGACTCCTTGGGGACACTGCACTGTCCCTTGGGGACACTGGACACTCCCTGGGACCCTGCAGGCTGCCCAAAGAACCATGCACGCTGCTTGGGGACACTGCACATACCCTGGGGACACCACACACTGGCTGGGGACCTTGGATGCTCCCTGGGGACCCACGTGTCCCCTGGACACTGGCCCAAGGGACCATACGTGATGCCAGGGACCCTGCAGGCTGCCCAAGACCCTGCATGGCACTTGAGGACCCTGCATGGCACTTGGGGACCCTGCGTGCTGCCTGGTGACACCGCACACTCCTTGGGGACCCCGCACACTTCTTGAGGACCCTGCATGTTGGGTGGGCACCCTGCACCCTCCTTGGGGACAGCCAAGTGACAGCCAAGTGAATTTCAGAACCACAGCATGACACAGCAGCCCAGCAGCGTTCGGCACAAGCGAGCAGGGACCGAGGTGACAGGACCCCCCCCAAAACTGTGCTGTGGGGAGGGGGCCGGGGTCTTGTCACCCCTGAGCACCACGGGTGGCAGTGGGGGGGACAGCAGGTCCCGCTCCCCCGGGGATTCCACACACACGAGACGGCTTTTCTGTTTTTTGGGGGAATTTTTTTTGTTTTTTAACAGAAGTTTATGGTTATATGCAAATTAGGTCATTAAATGATTTGCATAAAATGGTTCGCACGTCAGCGACTAAGTGTTCCTAACTCCCCACCCCACACCCCCCCCAAAAAGGTAGTAATCCTACTCCTCTAGCGCTGTCACACGGCTCCCCGCTCGCTCATGCGTGCCCGGCCAGCCACGCTCACAGGCCCCTGCCTTGCACACGCGTGTGCAACGCCGCCATCCTCTCCAGGGGGGAGTGCGTGGGTGCCCGGCGTGCTCCTGGCACACGGCAAGCGTGCGTGGTGCCAGCCACCCGCGTCCCCCTGCGCTCGTAGGTGACAATGTCACCGGCGGCCGCACCACACGCGCCGTTGCCCCGCGCCTCTCTGTCTGTGACCGGGCACCCACCGCGGGGCTGGAGCCCCCGGAAGGCCACAAGCCCACCATGTCCTGTCGTGGGACAGCGTCCCTGCCCGTCCCTAGCTGTTGGTGAGGAAGAGTCGTCTGTGTCTGGAGGCAGAACCGCGCGGCCGACCCCGACGCCGACCCCGGCCCCGGTTTCCGAAGGGGCTTCGGCTGGGAACGGCGGTCTCTCCCCAGTTGGGGGTCCCGGCTTGGGGTTCGGGGAAGCTGGGCTCGGCTTTGGGCTGCTCCAGGAGGGGGCTGGGGTCCGGCCGGGGCTCGGGCGGCGGCGCCTGGCTCTGCCGGGCGCTGGCCCGTTCCTGGCGCAGGTAGCGCAGCTCGTCGCGGATGTCCGTCAGGACGCCCAGCAGGCGGAACTGGAGCTCGCGGTCGCGGGCCCTCTCCTCGCGTTGGGTGGCCCGTTCCTCCTGCCACATGGCCAGCTCCTGGTGGTACAGCTGGTCCCACTGCTCCTCCAGGTCCAGCAGGTGATGGATGTTAGTCCTCCAGCTCTCCCGGCGGTCTTCCCGCAGGCGGGAGCAGCCCAGGCC